TCTTTGTTGTAACATTAAATAGGGAATAACGCTGAAGGAGAGAATAATGGTTGATATGTTGTTTGTCCACAAATCATACTTCCTTTAAAAGTACGAGTTCGGGGAAATCTTTCTATGGTCAATATTACTCTTAGTTTTTTTTTAAATATTACATTGTTATCCTAATCTATTCTAATTACCCTATCTTTTTTGAATTGGTAACCAAATGATTTAAAATATTACATTGTTATCCTAATCTATTCTAATTACCCTATCTTTTTTGAATTGGTAACCAAATGATTTATTTTATTCATAATCTATTCTAATTACCCTATCTTTTTTGAATTGGTAACCAAATGATTTATTTTATTCATAATGAGACTTAATATGTTATTGGATAAAATAAATATGTTTAATATAATTCAAATCCTTTTACTTATTTCAGTTCGTAGAAAAATCTACAAAAATATGCTAGCCAGCACCTACAAGTTTTTGGACTTTGTAAAAATATTCTCCAAGTATTTTAAATTACAAAAACAGCCCTATAAATTCAAATTTTTATTAAAGCATCTTGAAAATTATAAATTTTATTTATCTCAATTTAGTGAGAAACTTAAAATAATATGCTAACTAGAAACTGAGAGTTTTTTAACTTTGGAGAAAACATCTTGTAAGTTTTAAAAATTATAAAAACACCCCTAAAAATTCAAAATCTACAAAAAATACCTTAAAATTTTCAAACCTATAAGCATACTAAAAACCTACAAATAACACAAACAAGCCCCAAAAATTTATGAAATTTGCAATACACACTCTGAACTTTTTATAAATTACAAAATAAAACCCCTAAAATTATAAAATTATAAAATTAAAAAAAATCATGATAGTTTCTGACCTAACAATACATTAAAAATATAAGAATTATAAATATCCCCTATATAATTTAAAATTAAAATACCTTAAAATTTTCAAACCTATAAACATACTAAAAACCTACAAATAACACAAACAAGCCCCAAAAATTTATGAAATTTGTAATAAAACCTATAAACATACTAAAAACCTACAAATAACACAAACAAGCCCCAAAAATTTATGAAATTTGTAATACACACTTTGAACTTTTTACAAATTACCAAATAACACAAACAAGCCCCAAAAATTTATGAAATTTGTAATACACACTTTGAACTTTTTACAAATTACAAAATAAAACCCTCAAAATTATAAAATTTTAAAAAATCATGATAGTTTCTGACCTAACAGTACATTAAAAATATAAGAATTATAAATATCCCCTACATAATTTATAATTTATAGAAAACATCCTTAAAGTTTCAAAAATTATAAACAAACATTTAAAATTAAAAATTTATAAAAAACACCCTAAAAATTTCAAATTCATTAGTAAATTGAAAGCATATAAATTATAAATGGTCTATAAATAATTTACAATATATAGAAAAGGGCTATAAGTTTAAAAAATTATAAAAAAGTCCTTAAAATTCATAATTTACAAAAAAACACCATGAGAATTTCTAACTTATAGATACTAAAATGAATACACAAAATTACTAACAACCCCTAGAAAATTAAAATTTTACAAAAAATATCATACACCTTTTAAAAGTATAGGCTTAGGAAAAACTTTTCATGGTAAATATTACCCAGAATTTTTTTGAAAAGAACATAAATAATTAAAAATCTATTAAATTTAAAATTTACAAAAAAAGCACCCTTAAAGTATAGTACATTTCAAATTATCCCTCCAAAGTTTGAAATTTTGCAATGATTTTTTTATAATTCCTTGATTTCAATGTAATGTTTAATAGTTTTGTGTATTTGTAAATTATAAATTTTATGGTATTTTTTTACACTTTTTAAAACTTTTGTGGGTGTTTATTTTGTAGTTTTTTTAATTTTCATTGTGTTTTCAATGTAATCAATATACATCAATTAATGATGATATTAAAGAATAAGTCGTTCTTAAAATTATTAAATCATAGTTAAGTGTGTACATCACTATTCCTATACAGTATAGTTTATATATGCAAAAATTTTCAGACAATCTATATAGTGGTTAAAAAGATTTTGACTCTAACGTACTATTTTTTACAAATTGTATTTAATGTGAACCCACCATATATTTTTGACTGTGCTCATCATAATTTTAATACGTTTGATTGATTGACTATATACATATATAGAACATAGATTACTTTACTTTCTCACATGAGCTAATATTTGGTGCTTAATAATTTAAATTATTACTTTTAAATTTAATACAAAGAGGAGCTCTAATAACATTTATTTATTTACCTACAGCATCATACAATCTCAATTCCTATTTTGTACTGGAGATTTATTCCATAGTTACGCGTATCAAATTAGTAACTAAAATAATAATTATTTATGCTTAAATTAGGATGATTGTAGTTGGTCACTCAGTATAAAATTTTTATGAAGATATATAACTTAATTACTTTTTATAGCTATATGCACTGCCCATGTATATTTTATAAATTAGTTCTTAATTTGACATATTAAATTACTTTTCCCTTGTAGAAATTTCTTTCTTGACTTTTAGACTATGTAATCACTATATCACCATTCTAGCATAGAAAGAACCTCACTCTAAATAGGCTCCAAGTCAATGTTTGAGTTGCATTGAAGTATATACTATTGTTACTATGTGTATATATTTTAAGAAAATCATGTCAACACTTTTTTAAATAGAAGAGAATATTCTAACATCTGATATTATAAAAACTAAATATAGCAAATTGAATTATTAGCAAAAGAGAACTTACATCAGAAAAGTATGAATAATAAGATAAAGAGGAAAGTTAATGATATTGCTAATAGTACTACAAATAGCAAACTACAATGTAAAGTTAACATATTTTGTGGAGACCAACTACTACCTATAAGCATCGAGGTTTTCATATATATACTTTATAATTTATTAAAAATGGTCATATAATCTTATATAATAAAATTGATTTAATATTGAATAGAAATATCGTTGTAATAATATCATTATTAGGAAAAATTCTTCATGAATCGATATGTTCTTTACGATATATAAGCTATGCACTCCAAATTCTTGTGTCTTTTATAGAGCAAAAAAGTTTGAATACGAGCATGTTGCTCTCACAAACAACAAAATCTACTTAGGAGATATGGATATTCCATATGAGTTATGTATTCTATATACAATAAATTGCCCTAGGCAACTGAGTTATAATAGTATTTTTTATTCACATCATTTGGGGTAAGATTTGATAAGGACCTTGCATCAAAGATTTTATATATGTATTTAGAGCATATGGCGAAATATATCATAATCTTCCTGTTTTAATTTCGTAAGAAAATAATTCTTCACACTTTCAGTTTTACTTCTATGATACAGAGAATGGGCTATAGAATTGAATGAGAATATTATTTTAGATAATATAAATATGAGTGAAATATCAACTAAAAGTTAACGTGAATATGAGTCAAACCACGACTAAAAGTTTAATGGACATATTGCAAGTAAATTCATATGCAAAATTCCTTTGCGAATTGAATGATCACCCATCTTTTGAAGACTTCAAGATACTAATAAATAAAGATGTTGTACTATATTAATGCGTTTATAACTTACAAATAGTAGATCACGTGGCCACAGTCTGGGTTGAAAGGAAACAATGACAATATTTTATTTGAGAGAGAGAGCTTATTGAGTTGATGATCAATATAAAAAAAACTTCGTTTTTTATTATTATTTTTACTCTATTTTTATCAATGTAAATAATCATGATATTCAACCACGTGCATTGCACGTGCATCTCAACTAGTAAATTTAAAAAAAGGAAGAAAAAGAACAAGGGCCAAATACCGAAGGACAGGATAATAGTATACTAATATAATACATACTCGGACTAATCAAATCAATTATATTTGAGATACATTAGAGAGAAAGTTTTTGGTAATAGATTATTCTTTAAACTTAAAGAAAAATAGCGCATATTTCCCCTAAACATCCGATTTTTAATACAACATTCGAGATTCGAGAATATTGGGGGGCTATTATCTTATGTAATGTAATAAAAATATTTGCGTTTGAAGTTAGGGGAACGTAATCTCTTTGTAAAGACTAATCATATTTAATTTATTCAAAAGGACAAAACATCATAGTTTAAAAAAACTACAAGGCAAATATATTATGCCTTTTTGTGTGATCAAGCCAGAAGTATACGGGACGCATGTGAGTCATTCTGCTTCTTGAACAGCTTGACAGACACGAGACGACCATTTAGGATCAAATAAAGCAAAATAGTCATCTTATACAAAGACTATGTTTGGCAAAACTAGCTGAAAGCTGCGAGATTATAGCTGAAAGCCGTTAAGCTAGCTAAAAGCTGTGAAATTGTAGCTAAAAGCTGTTAGCTGTGTAGCTAGCTGATTGACTAGAGCTGTTTGGTAAAAGTAGCTGTACAACTAGCTTAAATTTGTTAAATGACTAAAAAAATATGTAATATTATTAATATAAAATTAAAATTATTAGAGGCAAAAACGGAAGAAAAAAATTGGCATCTCATTCTCAAAGACAAACGCTACTTGAGGTAGCTTTCCAAAAGCTACTTGCAAAAGACACAATCTCCAAAATAATCTTCTTCTATTTTTGATCACCAAACAGCTCTACTAGCTTATTGACCAAGTCAATAAGACACAAGCTCTTAGATAAGACACTTTTTTTTGTTGCCAAACAGTGCCAAATAACCCTTGTTTCCATCGGATTCGGGTACGTATAAAACGCTCTCATGCGTTGTATCCAATCCGAACAAGACCCACTTCGACGTGAAAATCGCTACAAAATCTAGGACCGAACTCAGCGACACCCAAACGGCACCATCTTATGTGGGCCCCCCGTACGTCAGACATCCGAACCTCATTGCTCTTGTGGGTGGTGTTATAAAAACTAGGCTCTGGAACCGTACACTTCGCCATCCATAACGCCACCCTCACGTGTCGACTCCTCCGTTGGACCAGTTCCTCGCTGACACCCTACTTACCAAGATCGGGGAAATCGACCGACACGTGTCCTTATGTCAGCCGTCAGATCGCCTCCCCCGGCAATCCCGACCCGAACTCGTATAAAATCCCTGGATCAAAGTTTTAAGGACCCCTTTCGTTCACCGGAGGAGGTGAACCCTAAAAACCGGTCCTTTTCTTTATTTCTACGGTTTCAATCTTTGAATCTCAATGGAGAAGGAGCTCGTGCAGACGTTCGAGGCGGCGAAGAAGGCGGCGGATGCGGCGGCGGGAGGACGCGGAGCGCCGGAGGAGGATCGATGCGTCGACGCCCTCAAAAACCTCAGGAAGTTGCCGTTTCCATGGACATTCTTGTGAAGACCGCAGGTAATTTTTCGATTTTTGGGCGATTTTGATGTAATTTATATTGTTTTTTTTGTTGAATACCCTTAATTTATTGAACGCCCCCCCCCCCCCCCCCCTCGTTTTTTTTTTGCTGGCGGGATTGGGGATTTTGGGTGTATGAGTTTGATTCGTTGAAAATTTGAGAAAATCTTATCTCGCTGGTATTTTGATATTTACTTTGTTTATAATTTGTACCTGCACTTTCTTATTGAAGCCATCTAGATATTTGATTATGCCCTTTTCAGCAGGTTAAAAATTGCTCCATTTGGATGGAGGCATTGACTATATTTTTATAATTTGCAGAAAAAGGCTGGAATTTTAGTACACTTTTGTGTAATATACTAATTTTAGGTGCAACACTTCAACTAAAGAAACTTGTTGAGATAATTCGATTCACATATTCAAGATCGTTAATAATTTATCATGAAGTAGAAAATGTTGTCTAACATATAAATTAAATAAATATATTGATTGATTTTACTAGTGTAACTAAAATATAATAATTTTTCGCAATCTTAAAAGCAACAAGAAGGTATGTATACGTTATTTACATCAACTTTACAATATCAAAAATGACAAGAAAAAGCAAGAAAAAGGTGTTGCAAATGCAGTAACTGAAGGGATAGTTGCAACTGTGGGTGCAACAAAACAAATACCAGGCAAAATGACCTGGTTACATGGGGGGTGTTTGTTTGCATGCAAGTGAAAGATGAAAGTGAGAAAGTTACTTTCATTTAACAATTAATGTGTTTGTTTTCATGTAAGTGGTTATAAAAGTGAGATGCAAAAAAGTTGTCACATATTATTTAATGTAATTTTGACTTCCCTTAAAAAAGTGGTGAAGTCTAATTTGATTAAATAATTTTAATTATACTTTCTAATTAATCTTATTTTGCCACGTCATCTTCACATTGTACTTTCGATAATAATTTAATTTTTCAAACAAACACTGTATTTCACTTGCGTACTGACATGGATGTAAAAGTCATTTGCAAAAAAAAAAACTTACATATTTTAAATTCACTTTCAGATTGCCAAACACCCCCGCAGTTCGCTAGAAGTCGCTCACTTGCATTGCAACTGCAATCTCTCCAATTGCAAGCTACTAAACTGTACCTTATTGAATTGTTCTTTTAATACATGCTATGCCCTCTATTATTTTATTATGTTTAAAACTTAGTTTTTAATTTTCTATGTAATACCTTAATTTTTTTGGCTTTTCTAAAATAGTTTTTAATTTTCTATACAGTACCTTAATATTTTTGACTTTTCTGTATAGTACCTTAAACTTAGTTTTAAATTTGCTACCAAACAGTACCTTAGTATTTTTGGCTTTTCTAGACAGTACCTTCAATAAACAAGTGCAGGTACAAATTATATATATAGATATAAATTCTATGAAATTGTAGAATGCTACTGTTTAGATGTTCAAAAATAGTGCTATATATATAACCAAATTCTTTGGTATGCTATCTTAAGTAATTGATGGATGAGTAGGTATAGTTTGTGAATTAAGTTACAATGAGTCAGACTGGAATTTTAGGTTTGCTTACATCGTGCCCGTGTACTCACACATGCAGGCAATACTTCCTTCACGTTCTTGAGAAATGGGTATGCTAGTCTCTTGTTTTCAGATCAAAATTTCTCTTTTATGTCTACATGTAATCACTACTGAATTTGAATAAAAGGTTAGAAGATGTGTAACAAATTTAAGGGGTAGATTGTGAATAGCAAAAGCCTTTTGATGATTTTTTTTTTAATTATGCATGAGGTAGTGGAATCACATTTGCATAGAATTTGTGATTATCCACCAAAAGCAAGGTGGGTTGAAATACCTCAAAGAGCAATTGTTGTTAATGCGATAATACTGATAGTGTGCAAAGTGAGGAAAGAGTAATAGTGTAGACGAGAGACGAAGGGGGAAAAGTAGAGTTGAGACAATTACTTCCATTTTTTTAATGAATTGTCAAACAGTTCATTGGTAAACACGATGGTCATTTTGTACAGATTCTCTGTGTTTCTTGTTGTTCTGTAGAGATCTTCTCAGGGTCATGGATAACTTATACAAGTCACTACAGAACTTGCCACTAGACTGAATTCCTGTGATTGGAGAATCACTGTGTTATATTTGCTCATCTAGAAAAGAAATTTCCCTACTTCTCTCTGAGGTGCATGGATTTATGAATTGGATGCTGGAGATGTTGACCATCTTAGACCAAGATGTAAGGACAGCTAAATAAGCTTGTTTATATACACGATTCATCTGGCAAGAGGCTAGCACTAGAAGTTCTCTTTTTTTGTCCAGATCTCTTTTTATCTAGTTTTAGTAACATTGGGATACAAGGTATATTTGGGGGTTTGGCACAAGTTTTCAAAATAAATAACACCTTTGAAGGATCTTCAGGAAAACTTGAGGGAAACGATTTTTCCCAAATATCAACTGATTATGAGTACAAATTGTTATTTGGGGGTTTGACCAGGGTTTTCTAAGGCTTTGAAAGAACTTTAGAAAAAAAAATTGAGGGAATTATTTCCCCCTTATATGAACTGGTTTTTTTTTGTGGTAAACAGTTGCTTGCAATACTTAGGATACCTAGATAAAAGATTGCAATTTGATTTCTGTCATCTAAAGCATACAGAGGTTTTTTTTTCTTTTTTTAACTCAAAAACTGGTTCTCCATCGTTTTACATTTTGTGCGTAAAACTGTTGCTTTTTTTTGGTTTGTTTTTTGTTTGTTAATTGAACTATAACTACTATCACTCTTATCTTTTTCGGCTCATCTGTGTCGGCTCATCTGTGTCGCATCCTGTATTATGCAATGGGACTTTTCTAATTGACGTGATGGGGTGCAAAATGATAGCATAGTACAATACACCTTATTCTTTCCCTCTCGTGCAGTATAAAGAGAGAGTTTATAGTCATCACTTGTCTACTTTGGCTGGTGATTGATAATATTTTTTCAGCATTTAAATTCTATGAAGGGGTGAATCTGAAGATGCATAAGTTTAAAGGGCCAGTAATGGTTATTATCAGAATGGCTTTCTTGGAAAGCAGATTACCTACATGGAGTCACTTAATGAATCTGTAGTATAACACATAGATAGGTCAAACATGATCTGATTCATATATTGTATCTTTCTCATATCTTTTCTCAGCTGCATGTGCTGATCTTTTCCATCTCATCTTCAACATTTGACAGAATTTGTAAGCCCAGTAGCTGTATGCTTTTACAGTAGTGATTCAAGTCGATTTTCTTGCCTGTTTCACTTTTCAGAATGCTAATTTCCAGAATATTTGATATCTCTTATCTCTCTCTTTTCGGAGTAGTCTTGTTGACTGGTTATCTAGCTGTGCATTCCATTTCAGTAAAGCAGAATTTTATCATGGAATGCTATTTGTAGTTCCTTTTACGTATGAGAAGAGGCATTTGATATCTGTGTGCACATCATCAACATTTATTACTTCCAGTGTTAGCTAAAATCATGGTTGATAAGTAGAAAGGCATCGTGGACTTTTGTCGTTTTGTTTTAATCCTATACCAACTTATAATGAGAAGTTCCTAAACATGACATATGCATTAGAGGTGTTAATAACAAATTGAACCAAATAAATTGTTAAAACTTTAACTCATTATAATCTCTGGTGTTATATCCCAGGACTATAGTGAGTTAGATTAATCGAGGGTAATACAAGTCCCCAGTCCAAACATAGCCATAAAGACTACAAGTGAAGTTACGTTCGTGATGATGTATAGTGGCCTGTGATATATCAATAAAATTTCAAATAATTGTTTGATAGGTATATCCAATCTGATGCCGTCAAGTGTCATCTTCGATGTTTTGTTTTTCTTAAAAAAAAATATTTTTCTTATTATGTAATATTCAATATTTATGCTGGTCTTTTGCTTTTAACATATTGGTTCTATGCTGGTCAGTTATTAGTAGTTTGTGTATATGCTGGTCTTTTGCTTTTAACATATTGGTTCTATGCTTCTATCTCTTAAACTGTAATTGCTTGTATTTCAGGTTGGTAAACAACTCCGTACTCTTACAAAACATCCCCATAAAAGGATTCAGGCTGTGGCTTCTGACTTGTTGAAGTTCTGGAAAAATGTTGTCATTGAAGAGACAGCGAAAACTGATAAGAAAAATGGGGGCTCCAACGGCTCGTCAGAGGCTGATGTTAAATCTGAAAAGGCAGAGGTTGTCAAAGTAGAGAAGACCTCAAAAACGGTTACTGGAATCAACACATTATCAAGGTCAGAAAGTATCAAGGGGGAGAAAGGTACTTCTAACAATGGAATAAAAATTGAGAGGATATCAAAAGCTGAAACTGTAAAGGTTGAGAGGACGAATGGGGCTCAAGAAGTTCCAAAATTGACATCAGTGGTCAAGTGTAAGGATTCCGTGAGAGATAAACTCCGAGAAATTCTTGCAGAGGCCTTCTCTAGAGTTTATAAGGAGACGAGCGAGAGCGAGAGAGATGAAGTGAAGAGCATCTTGGATGAAGTGGAAGCCTGTGACCCGCTTCGTACAGCTGTCACTGTAGAATCCGCTATGTACGAAAAATTAGGGTCTTCAACTGGATCTCACAAGATGAAGTACAGATCAATAATGTTCAATCTCAAGGACAGCAAGAATCCTGATTTCAGAAGAAGGGTTCTCCTTGGTCAAGTCCAGCCTGAGAAACTTGTTGATTTGATGCCAGAAGATATGGCGAGCGATGAGAGGAAACTTGCGAATAAACAGATTAAAGAGAAGGCGTTGTTTGAATGTGAGAGAGCAGGTGCTCCCAAGGCTACCACTGATCAGTTCAAGTGTGGGCGATGTGGGCAGCGAAAGTGCACATATTATCAGATGCAGACTCGGTCAGCTGATGAACCTATGACAACTTTTGTTACTTGCGTGAACTGCAATAACCATTGGAAGTTCTGTTAATTTAAATTTAGGCAGTTTAGAATGATTCTATTTACTAGATTGAGTGGCCCATTTAGTATTTTAGGGGTGGCCCCTTTTCTAGACCACGTTATTTGGAACTTATTGATAGTTTGTTCTTCTTGTTTCAAAGTGTAGTCTGATACTGTAGTTAGTTTTTTTAGGAAACGCGGGTTGTAACTTTGGCTCTTGTGAGCTCTTCGGCACGTAATAATGTTGTTAATATTTGGTCAATATGTGCAATGAGATCTCTTTATTATCTGATTCACCTCAAACATGTGTTCTGTTTCCATCTCTTTGTAGGTTGTTGTTGCCATAACTAGAAGGATGCGTGTGAGTGATTTGCCCCAACTTGATTGAATCTTTGTTTTAAAGAATGTGCATATGTAGAGGCACAACAGGATAAGGAATTTTTTTTTATGCTGACCAGGCTTGAAGAATATCAGTAGCATAAACAAGAATATTTATATCATAATTTAACATTAAGATCAGGATATTTCTTGTACTTGCAACGAGATATAATATAAATATATGTCATGATAGGCAGACAAGTAATTTGGCTTTCTTGACTGAATGCACATTAATAACTGTGTATATCAGGAATTGCCATCCGTGTGTAAACGATGGTGCGGAGAGGGAAAGGGGTAAAAAAAAAAGAAAAGAAAGGAAAAAAAAAGCTAATTCTTTGCCATCTTTTCCTGCAGCGAGGGCTGTTCTGGTCCCTTGCTTTTTGCACAGTTTTGTTCCTGAAAAGAAGTGAAGAGAAGATGTAAACGGAGATTTTGAGACAAATAAAAACTCTGCAGTCCAAGGGGGGAAAAGGTCATGATTAAGAAGGCTTAATTTTATACTCTAAAACAAAATCAAGATAAGACAGAAAGCTAATTAGTTTTTCACTCTATATGAAGCACAGAACAACTGTTCAGGTGTTTTGCTTTCATAAATTCTAAGAAATACAATAGATTCACTTACATAGGCAGAGCCTGAAAAGAACGAAATTAACCCTTATTATATATATATTTTGTGCTTGGTAGTGATGTGTCACATCCTCATCCACTCACTACCCATGTGAATGTGGTCTCATATTTGCACCCACCAGCCAGAAATTAATCTGGCTCATATATGATTTGAAGTGTTTTTAATAGATTTTATTTATTAACTTGTTGTTTCACTGCGCATCAAATTGATATCAGGGGATGGTATATATCAGCTGTCACTTTGTTCAGTAGAACAAGGTCTAAATTTTCAGATATGACTTTTGTAATATTTTTGTATAGCTCATTTAACAAAATAAAATAAGTTCCAGTAAAACATCAACTTTTTCCTTGATATTATCATGAGGCAAGTAAACAAGAAAACCATCACGATTGAAATATCTAAGAAAACCACTCACCTTCAATTTGGCATCTCTCTCCTCTTCTTCTCCTGCTCTGAGAGATTTCATTGGACCAACTCTCTGCATTTGTGTCAACCAAAAGACAATATAAATTATTATTATTTTAAATCAAACAAAAAATAAAATAAAAATAAAAATTCAATTAATCACAACTCACCACACAAGATCTAAGATCCATAAACCAAATAATCCTCTGAATCTCCAACTCCATCTTCTTCTGCTCCTCCCATCTCCTCTCCATCTCTCTAAACCCCCTCTCCAATATCCCCTCCCTCTCTCTCATCAACCTCTCAGTCTTCTCTCTCTCAACTCTCAGCCTCTCTCTCCTCTCTCTCGCCACCCTCAGCTCCTCCGCCAGCGACGCGTCGAGGGGACCGAAGGCCTCGATCAAATGGTTCTCCTTGCCCGGACCCTTTTCGATCCCGATCGGCTTCGGCTTTGGATTCCATTGAATGTTGCTGCTTTTGGGCTGAAGGGGTCTTCTCAAAACCTCCATTTGGTTTGAGAGTTTGAATTTGAATTTTTTTTTGGGGGGAGGGGAGGTAACGGCTAGTTGTTATTTATAAATGGAGGGTTTAGATTTTTTTCGGGGAACGTGAAAGTACATATGGAGAATAAACGAAATGACTAAGGTTAGTATTAAGATAGGGAAAAGTAATGGCGATGTCAGGTAATTTATAGAAAGATTTAAGGTGTCAGTTTCCTCAGTTCACGGATCTGAAGAGTGAGGGAAATTTTGGAATTTAGTGTGTGTGTGTTTTTTTCTTTTTTGGTTGGATGGATTTGACTCATGGGACAGTGGGAATCTTTCGACTGCTTTTTTTTCATTCTTTTTTCCTTTTTTTTTCCTTAGTATCATTGTATGAGTGATGATGGATAAGTAAATGATGATGTTTTAAAAATTTGGGGAGAGATTATTAGATTTGTGAAGAGTTTTGAATGCCAGGGTACGTCTTGTATGATGGTGTCTCGAAAAAAGAGAGGAGAGGTTATGAGGTGGATGAGACTTTTGAATGCCGAAGTGCATCACGCGTGTATGTAATTTATACTCGCATTGAGAATGTAATTTTTGTAGAGAATTGCTCTAACCCTTATTAATGCATTCGTCATTCTCACCTTTTCAATTTAGAATTCTTAAAACATTTTCCATCTTTGTATTTACTTGATTTTTTTTATTGAAAGTGACTCTATTTAATTTGCGATGTTTTATAAATAAAAAAGTAGTGTTAATCGCAAACTGGTGCCCTATAGTATCAACCAATTGCAAAATAAGATTAATGTAGTTCTATTTGCGTAAATGAACTCCGAGTGAATTCTTCACTCTTAAAATCCTTAGAAATGTCTTGAGGAGGCAGATAAACCCTCAATAGTCCTATTTGTGAGGATAGACCAACAGTTACTAATTCTTTTTGACTCCTATCAAAGAGTTGAAAAAGTTCACTAAGTAGACGTATTTGCACGTAAACCCGCTACAAAGGGTATATTCATCACAAATAGAGTCTATTCGGCACTTGCTATACTAGAGGTCTATACGCAATTAACCCAAAAAGTAATTTTGCCCTTACCAAAAAGGAACTTACATCCATATTGACCTCGCACTGTTTATACATCAATCCACTTGTACTAAAAACAACTGAAGTACGACTGTAGCCAGTCTTTTATTTTTACAGTTTTAGTTGCCATTTTTCCAGAATCCTAAGAAATAGTACCAATCAAATCAGAGCATTTGTAATGACAGAGACAAAGAAGTAGACAAACCTTAAAACTGACCATTTATGGAAGAGGCTTTGAAAATTAATTATTTTAATTGAATTCTTAATTTGGGACTAATTGCACATTAATTAGCCTTCGACAGTGTTGCGCTTTGAAACTTACAATTCTTGTAGTTTGATTTTGGCGGACGCTTCTCTGGGGGAATTTGTTCGGACTCTTTATCCTGAGTAAACTTTTGACAAATCCATACCTGTATGTGCGTGTGCGTGTGCGTGAGAGATAGGCCTCTATATAGGAGGGTAAAGAAATTCTATAAAGAAGGTTTATATGTCTTTTAATTTTTTTTAAATATGTCAAAATCAGACTGCAGAGTCAAATGAGTTTCGAAAGTCTATGTGAAATCATGTTCATTTTATATTTTTAAGATATGTATTTTAATTATTCACTCCGGTGGGTGGCGTGGATACTCAGTGACAATATTGCCAACACATCTTCGCTCTCATAGCAGAATGCGGGAAGGAAAGATCAGAACTATATTTGGTCTGGCATCCCCATGCCTTCTTGCCAAAGATTTTCTTGGTGTCACAAAAAGACATACATATTTTAACGAGAACGTATCAAATGACCCCGAATGTGTTTCAAATAGATATTGACTATTAGATTATTGAACATTGAGATTTGTGTTGTGCGCGGCGCGGAAGCGGGACAACTAAACGGGCGTGCTTCGAGAACCAAATCAAACAAACGTCGAGATAAAAGCCAAACAAATCAAAACAACGGCACAAATCCAAACACAATAGTTTTACGTGGTTCGGCAAATTGCCTACGTCCACGGGGCAAGAAGGGGATTGTGTTTTCACTAATAGAGAAGAAGAGTACAAACTGAGATTACAAAACGCTCAAACCATTCAACTAATCTCACCAACAAATCTCTTAATCTCTCCAAATAAACCCTCAAACAATTGCTCAGAAAAACTCTCCCTTTTCTGTGCTCCAAATATCCCCAACCAATCTCCAATCCAAGCCCAAGAAACCCTAATTCGTATGTTGGTATTTATAGCAAACATCAAACCCAAACTGAACAGGAAACTCAAACCGGGCCCTGACCCGATTGGCGGTCGAACGCCCAAAGCTCGCGATCGACCGCGATCCAGCGACAGAGACCAAAAAGTCCTACAGGGTCTCGCGGTCGACCGCGCCAAGTCCAGGCACAAACCCTGGATCCATGCACGATCGCGGTCGACCGGCCTTGCGCCGCAGTCGACCGCAGAGCTCCCAAATAGAACCCTGAGCTCTTCCAACACTTGTTCTTCACCAAACTTCTAGCGGTTTCTTCAATTCTCCACATCGGTGAAGTTTCTACCAAAACTGGGCCGACACCAACAAAGCCAAATGCCGCACTTGCTGCTTCTTAATCCTCAACAAGTCGAGACCCAAACGGGAGTGCGAACACTCACTTAAACGTCGGTATCTACTCACCAAATCGGCTGCATCAAAACTGACTGCTTATGTATCCTCTTGCCCAAGGAATCAAGCCTTCACGTAGTTCACCCAAACGGCCTCCAAAGACCCTCAAACAAATAGAAAAGTCTGCAACTCTTCACCAATATCATCTGCATCCAAATCCAAATGATCCACAATCTGTGTCACCTCAGCTGGAATCCCAAACGATACAGTATGATCTGGAGTATATGGAGTAAACTCCACCCAACGTGGAGTAGCATCACCCTCCACCTGCTGCGATATCTAAACGACCTGATCAACACTCTCCACCTGCTGAGAGTCAAAAGTGAAAAGTGACATTCCTGCTCAGAACAAAATCAGAAGCTCCCAACCAATAATCAAATGAGCCTCCGAATCCTAAACGCGCAATCGGATCAAATCTCACATCCTCGATATGACCAAATGCTGGGTAACTAAATATCCGACGCCAACCAAAATCTGAAGCAGCTCCACCAGATCCAAAATCTCCAAACATAGCAATCGGTAACTTATGTATAAGATGACCCAAACATGTCGAAGCCCGAATACTAAATCCAATGCTCGACAACCAACGCCGATCCCCCATAAGATGACCCAAACATGTCGAAGCCCGAATACTAAATCCAATGCTCGACAACCAACGCCGATCCCCCTCCAGAAAGGAACAACCAATCAAAAATATCATCTTATCTCATCCCCACAATGTTTCCTCTACAATGAAGTGTCTCAAACTGTCATGAGCTCAGCACAAATGCAGAAATAGGTCCATCTTGTACCTCCCGCTAAAATCAGACTAAAGTACCTTCACCTTCTGCTAATACACTTCTTCAACTGTTGTTGACTACTAGGACTTCAAAACCAACGGGACTTGGTTGCAACCCACAAATGCCTAGTACAATCCCCAACATAGGAAACCAAAATACCAATTTACCTTCTAATGATGCCTCCTTGGAAGGCCCCCGAATGCCTAAATGAACACCAAATAGAAGACCCCTCAATCATCAAATAGAAGTGTCAAACTCTACCTCGGTCTCCTTGCTCATACCAACATGCTCAAAGGACTTCAATATGCAGGTCAAGGGCACTTCTCAATAACCCAATGCACCGTATCAACAAACAAATAACACAGCCTCAAATCCTTCTATCTCGACCAACTATCTATTGTCTCAAAGCACCAACAAATGAAGAATAGATCTAAACTGATAAAAGAGAGAATTTTACCTCCAAATAAAACCCTAACAAGAGTCTCCAAACGATCTCACCCCGCACGACGGCAACGAGATCCACAAATAGGAAAAACCCTACTTTTATCTCCAACCGAAGCCCTCGAAGAGCCTCCAAAGCGATCTACTCCTCCAAATAGCTCAAGCGCTAACAAACCAATGCGGAACAAACGAAGAATAGATCCAAATTGAAAAAGATAGAGTCTTTACCAAAAAAAAATCACACATTTCTCACCAAACGAAGCCCTAGCCGAACTTCCAAATTGATCTACTCCTCCAACCAAGACAAAACCCTAGATCTGGAATCTGGAGCTCTGATACCAATTGTTGTGTGTGGCGTGGAAGCGAAACAACCAAACAGGGCGTGCTTCGAGAACCAAATCAAACAAACGTCAAGATAAAGGTCAAACAAATCAAAACAACGGCACAAATCCAAACACAATAGTTTTACGTGGTTCGGCAAGTTGCCTACGTCCACGGGGCAAGAAGGGGATTGAGTTTTCACTAATAGAGAAGAAGAGTACAAACTGAGATTACAAAAACGCTCAAACGATTCAACTAATCTCACCAACAAATCTCTTAATCTCTTCAAATAAACCCTCAAACAATTGCTCAGAAAAACTCTCCTTTTTTGTGCTCCAAATATCCCCAACCAATCTCCAATTCAAGCCCAAAAAATCCTAATTCGTATGTTGGTATTTATAGCAAACACCAAACCCAAACTGAAAAGGAAACTCAAACTGGGCCCTCCTGACCCGATTGGCAGTCGACCGCCCAAAGCTCGCGTGCACGATCACGGTCGACCGGAATTACGTCGCGGTCGACCGCGCAGCTTCCAAATAGAACCCTGAGCTCTTCCAACACCTGTTCTTCACCAAACTTCTCGCGGTTTCTTCAATTCGTGCACGGATGCACTTTAAACGTCGTGATCCATCTCTATAAGACAAGTTCTTGTATTCTAACTTACCATCCATTTGACACGTAGTGATCCCCGAGCCAACACGTGCTCTCCCGACACTGACATCTTCCTGACACGTGCCGCCCATATCGATCGACTTCTGTACTTCCTCACGTCGACGCGAAAGTCATCACTGATAAAGCCACAGCGTTAACCGTGCTCTCTTCATAAAAAATAAAAAACACCAACTACAAAATGGAGTCATTTCGTGTTCATTCCTCAA